TAAAAAGGGTTAGAAATATAAAAATGTAAAAATGTTACTTATGGTACTTACCGCATTCTAGATTGGACATATCGCCGTTTGCCCAATTTGGCAATACTTTTCTTTTTTCCATATTCTTCACAATAAAAGTTCAAAACTCACAAAAAAAATCACTTCACTCTACGAACATCTTTTACATAATGCACAATGCAATCCGAGCCACGAAATATATATACATTTAGATCATGAATCACCTACCTTGATAGGTATTTCCCATTGAGATTCGCAGGTAAAATAGCTGATACTTCAACCCCTATCAATATTCTTCAAAACATTGTTATTAAACCAGGTAAGTGTCAATCAATAACACTTTAAAGTTTTATTGAATATTAAAATTACCTAATTTTCTACATAGAATTAGCTTTATTAACCGATTTATAAAGTTTTATAAAACTACAATTGTTTTTTAATTAGGGGATTAAAAGATTGATATTGTTGTTTTGGAATAAGATATTGTTGATTTCTCGGAAAACTGTATTCTTGATAAACGCGTCTGCATCAGCCAAATATATTGTATTTTCTTTTTTTACTTTTGAAGTTTTTATAATAATAATTACAAATCCGCTTTTAAAATATATTGACAAAAATATACACTAAATGTTCATTTAAATTTATAAAATTATTTAAAAAATGCAGTAGGAAAGGGGGCGTCCATTAATTACGTGAGGTGTTCAAGGGGGGGGGGGGGGATAAAACTAAATCTTTCTAAATCTCACTTGGGGGGGAGGGGGGGGTTTTCGTAAATCTCACGTAATTTTTTTCTAGTAGAAAACGGTGTAAAATTGCGTGAAAGTAAAGTTAAATTATAGTAAAAGTATTTCTAGAATAAAATATGGAAAAATCTTATAATTATGTTTATTTACAACCATATATGTAATGTTGTCATTACTAACGTCATTGAGGGTTGGGAAGTGTCACATTACACACCTCTACTTCCCGCCCTCTCTTCCCGCCCTCATTTCATCTATTCCAGATGAATATTTTTTATATTTAAAAAAAATAACACATTTTTTGACAAATTTTATAATACCTATTTAATGGCAAACAATAAAAAACAACAATGAACTAAAAATACAACAAACTACTTATTAATGTTTATTATTCGCGAATTTAATATCCGGCTTTATCTGACTTTTGTTTATTCCTGTCTCGAGATCATAGCTAACCTCGACGCTTCGCGTCTCGGTGATCTAACTAATCTCACGACATTTCCATTTAAGTATTTATCATTTAATTTTATTAATGTGATTTTAAATAATTGCAACACTCTTAAACACTAGTCTTTGCTAGTCTTAAATAAAAGTAATGGAACATATTGTGTTTTTGTTTTTTTTTTTTTTTTTTTAATAATCCAACACATTTACACCCAAAACACGAATTTTGAAAAATCTCACGTGAGATTAGGGAAGGGGGGGAGGGAGTTAAGGAAAATCTTACCAAATCTCGCCAAGGGGGGAGGGGGAGTCAAAAAATCCTCAAAAATACCTCACGTAATTAATGGACGCCCCCAAAGTAAAACAGACATACTTTCAAAAACATAAAAATCTAGAATCTCAGTAAGATGTAACACATGCGATCTCGCTCGCCACTGCACTGGTGAGAGTTTCGACCGGCGCTAACAAATATTTTATTTATTTTTAGCAAGTTTTAGAACAAAAACCTTTATTTTTGTTGTGCGCTCAAACGGCTAAAGATAAAAGCATGAAATTTTGGGAATATCTAAAAACTAATATCTAAAAAGTTATGGCAGCAGATTTTTGAAAAAAATAAAGTCGGAGTGAAAATATTTTTTTCTCAAAAATTAGACTTTTCAAAAAAAATCTGCTTCCATACTTTTTTTTTAGAAGTATAAAGTAAATTAATTCCCAAAATTTCAAAAAAATCGCTTGGTAAATAACGGCCTTTGACTTTTATTTCAAATAAGCGAGGGTATGTATTCCTCTTAATGTTGCATATGATGATATCTGGATTCAATTAACACTTAACTCTGTTATTGAGGTGTAGCATATATCCCTCCTAGTTCACATATATCTTGTTATATATCTTTCTGCGATACATGTGAGAATCTTAGGTATGTTTATAGCAATGAAAAATGTATAATTGGTGATTTCAATTTGTCAGATATCAAATTGTCTTTAGACGAAGAAAATATTCTAATTCCAAATCAACTCCATAGCCCTTCAGCTGAATTTTTGCTAAATACTATGTTCTATCTTGAACTACAACAACGCTAAAGCTATATTAACTCTTTTCCATGCTATGATTATGTTATGTTGATAATGGGGTGTTAATACACTGCGACCTAAAAGATCTATTGTGCCCCCTTCTGTTGCCACTGCACTAAGGAAATGTCTCAATGTCTATAGCGACCCTTCCAATCCTATTTTCTCAAGGAAGTGTAGGATTTGAAGTGGCTTCAAGTTAGGTAAGTCTCCCTCTTCTATTTGATATCCTCCTAGATATAGTGCCCTTGGATTCTGGAGTGCTACACATTCAGTTAGGATGTGAATGGAGGTTTCGTCCTCCTCCTCACAGAATCTGCACTCACTATCCTCTACTACTCTCAGTTTACTTAGGTGTCCTTTTAGTCGGCAGTGCCCGGTAAGGATCTCTGTTACAATACGTAGCCTGTTCTTGCTCAGGCAAATGCAGGCTTCCGATCTTTTTTGGTTATATTCACCCAGAAGTATCTTGGCCTGTCTCAGCCCCAAGAGATTGTTCCAATTATCGGTTCTTCTACTACCCAATTCTTTTTTAATCTCTTCTAATATGTTACTGCTGATACCGCAGAACGGCTCAGGTCCTACAAAGGGTGTTTGAGCCTCTTTCCTTGCAAGACTATCTGCAATCTCGTTACCCTGTACCCCGTTATGTCCCGGGACCCAAGTGAGACTTAACTCTATTTTTCTCGCCTAGCTCATTCAATTGTTCTAGGCATCTCCATACCATTTTTGAGCTGATTACGTAAGAACTCAGCGCTTTGATGGCTGCTTGACTATCGGACATGATGATAATCTCTTGTCTATGATAGTTTCTCTCGATGTTAAACTGGATACACTTCTCGATGGCGTGAATTTCCGCCTGGAAGATGCTTGGGTATTTTACCAAGCTTTCGGAGTGCTTGGTTCTCGGCCCATACACTCCTATTCCAGTTCCTTCTATGGTTTTGGAACCGTCCGTGTACCACAGAATAGCACGTCTTTCGGTTGCAAGCGCGATGAATTCTTGGCTCCATTCTTTCTTGCAGCCCAGCTCTGTGGTTTTGAAGTTTTTCACAAAACTGTACTTCTTTTGCATTTCATCCTGGGGCATGTCCCAGGTATCTTTAGTCCTGAAGCAAGTAGACTTTCGTCTGATTACTCCGCTCCTGATCATTCTATATCGTGTCCTTTTTGCCACATTCTCTATCATCAAATGTAGAGGGGTGAGGTTTAAGATCACCTCCATTGCGGCCGTAGGACAGGTTCTCATTGCACCAGTAATGCAAACACAGGCTAGTCTTTGTACTTTTGAGATATTAGCTCTCGTAGTAACTAAACTAGTTCTGTTACTCCAGGCTATAGCCCCGTAAGTGATGATTGGTCTCACTATTGCAGTATACATCCATCGCAGTATGTTTGGGTTACATCCCCATCGTTTACCCGCCATGTTTCTGCATACCATTAGGGCTTTTGTGACCTTATTTACTACTTCCTTCTCATGTGTGTTCCAGAGAAGTTTGTTGTCCATGCTATGATTAGAAACATGGAATACTGCAGCACCATATGGGATCCTAGTTATGCAGTCCATATCAACAGATTAGAAAGGGTACAGAATAAGTTTACCAAATATCTGCTATACAAATTAAGATTCCCACTGGTCAATGTTTCCTCTGAAACCCGATTACTATTGTATGGGATGAAGACGCCAAAAAACCGCTATGCTGCAATTTTTATATAAAATTCTTCACTCTATAACTGACAGTCAAGTTCTACTAGAAAATGTGATGCTTCATGTGCCAGTTCGTTTAACTAGAAATCAACAGTTATTTCACGAACAAACATATAGGACTAATTATGGAACGAATGAAGTTATGGGAAAGCTTGTTCGCAATTACAATAGTAATTTTAGTGATATGGATATTTTTCAACTAAGTCTAACGGGACTGAAACGGGCTTTATCAATATTATGGAAGTTTTTTTCTTTATATGAATATATTGTTACTTGTACTTTCATATCTTTGTAACTTTTCTATATAATTCCTGTAAGCCATTTGGAATTTATTTTCTCTAGAGCTTTATTAAATACATAAATAAATATAAGTTAATAAAATGGCAACAGGGCAACAGTCAGTCCTCGACTAGAATAAGAAGATATGATGTTGGGATATTAGCCAAACCGAATATCGGTGACAAAACCAGAGTATATAGCAATAGCAGGGATATCGTAGTTGCCACATGTTCACTGTAAAATCACGGCTATGTCTAATACAAAATAATAAGCACTGTATATTCAAAAGTAGTCTCCTCGTAGACTAGGCCACGAACCGCGCCTGAAATATACGTTCTGTATTAATTGTATAAATACAAAGAAACAAGATGGCTATTGCTTTTATCTCTTACACAGTTATGGTAGGCATTGCCAATTGAAAATCGACTCTGGAATATTAAATGTTAAAATCACATCATTAAATAAGGTCCTACATTGTAAATATATTATTCAAGATATAGAAATGATAAGTTGTGTATAAATAATTAAAAGTCATAATGATATATAAATAAATAACAAATCCTTGGCATCCGAGGTTGCCAACAAAGTGAGTTTAACAAAAGTCTACGAACCCTACCCTGTATTCTAATTCAAACAAATTAGACTGCGCCGACGATATGTAATTCAGAAAAATCGATTTTTTTTTCACTTTTAACTCAGAAACGTCGATTATTTAGGCTTATTTTTCTAAGAATTTCTTTTTTTTTTTGTAGAAAATACCAGAGCAATCTATTATTCTTCTACACGCCTGTGCCCATAATCCAACAGGCGTGGATCCTACCAAAGAACAATGGAAAGAACTGTCGGATGTGATCAAAAAGAGAAATCTATTTGTTTTCTTTGACATGGCATATCAAGGATTCGCAACTGGTAGCGTGGACAATGACGCATTTGCCGTAAGTTTGTTTACTGTATTATTAATTTAAAACATTTCTGGAAATCGCTTAATTTTATCAAAATCGCTTGATAAATAAAGGAGACACGAAGCTGGCCCAAGTCTCTAATGTCACCCAGTATGGCAAGTAACCTATAAAATTACAATTCAATTTCCTCAGAAATTAAGGGGTTTCCAAGATTTTTTTTAAACTAACTATATAAAACGCATACTTTTTTAGTGTCCCCTTTTTTTTTCAAAATTCCAACATCCTGAATATTATACGACGTCAAAAAAAGTTTAGAACGATTCAAAATGATTATCTTGTCTTTTTAGGTACGTTATTTCGTCGAACAAGGCCATCGTGTTTGTTTGGCTCAAAGTTTCGCCAAAAATATGGGTTTGTATGGCGAACGAGCAGGTGCTTTCAGTATTATCGCCGACTCAAAGGAAGAAGCCGACAGGGTTATGTCCCAAATTAAAATTCTCATTCGTCCAATGTATTCCAACCCACCCGTAAATGGGGCTAGAATAGTTGCTGAAATTTTGAGCGATCCTAGTCTAAAGAACCAATGGTAATTATTTTTTGTTTGTTCTAAGTTTAGTTTCGTGGATGTAATTATGCTTTGTTTTAAGGTGAAGAATAGGCAGATTTTATTATGCTTGAACCTGCTCCATGTCCTTCCAGTCCTAGGTATGCCTATGACCTTATTCCTCTCTTACCTAAAAATTTGTAAACATAGATGACAACCCAACTCCCATTTAAAAACAAAATTAAACATAGCTAAAAATAGAGTCTAAAAGAATAGAATAGTTTTCTATCTCACTTAAACCACAGACAGTAGATATTGCAACATTAATAATCATATATAATTAGGTTTTACTTCTCTGATATCTTTATAGAGTTGAAACACCTTAATACAGATTTTTCTATTCATCTCTTATTCTCTAAATTTATATTGAATGTTTATGAATTTATGTAAAATATTAAAATTAATTTTTAGGTTGCCAGAAGTGAAAGGAATGGCAGATAGAATTATTTCAGTACGTACTAAACTACGTGAAAATCTTAAGAAAGAGGGATCTAGCCGAAACTGGGAACACATTACAAACCAAATTGGAATGTTCTGTTTCACGGGAATGAATGCTCAACAGGTAAAAAAGTGTAGCATAATAAAAATGTATTTTCCCCTTCACATGTCCATAATTAATACATTTCTTAACTATTATTCGATCCTGAGACTCGCACTATTAAGGACGCCTTTATGTTTTCAGGTTGAGAAGCTCGTTAAAGAACACAGCGTGTACTTGACCAAAGATGGTCGCATTTCAATGGCCGGTGTGACATCGAAAAATGTAGATTACCTCGCCAGGGCCATGCATTTAGCAACAAAATAAGGAGGAAGTCATTATTAAACGCGATATTAATTTTGTGGTATTATGTCCTGTATTTCATCATTTTAAATGCATTTTAATTAGCTATTAAGTTCCAAAGTACTTTTTATTTAGATTTTTCTTTGTACATTTTTTTTGTTGCATATAGAAATTTATCAAATATATGAATTGTTTTTAAAGTTTTTTTTTTTGTTTTATTGCAATAAAATTGGGAGTCTAATAAATAGTGTAAGTAACTAAATTAGTAGGTCCAAATTTCTTGGTACATCAATTACTGACAAAAATAATCAATTAGCAAAAATGGATAGAGAAAGAAGTTTTCGATTTTCCCTATTGAAAAGACAAGAAAATTTCCTACAATATGAAAAATTTCCAAAAAATACTTAAAAACAAAGTAAGGGCATGAAAAAAAAATGTTCAGCAAGCAAAAATTAAATATCTATTTGGAATTTTGAGCTGAAACTAACCACTAGTACAATTTTTATTGGTTAAAATTGAGTTCTTACCAGATATCCTACTGTGTATGTCATCATAATTCCAAAAGAATAAATAAACAATTCTAACTTAAATAACTGTAGTTAATGATGTAAGTACCTAAATTAGAATCTCCATATTTCTTGGCAGGGTCCGATTACAATTTGAAGAACACGCAGCTACGTCATCATTTGGCAAAGTAATTAATTAGTTATTGTCACCTAATTGGGGTTTAGTGAAGTGTTAATATAATATAAGAAATATTTTTTTATACCTAACAGCTTATTTTTAATTTATTGATAGTTATAGATATGTATTCGAAGTAATGATTATGACGTAGTGGTGTTCTTCTAATTTTGTAATCGAACCCTACATCTACTTTTGATAAAAATGCACAATAAACAAAAATAGATCGATATAGAAATGATTGATTTTCACCATTGAAGAGACAAGAAAATTTCCAAATATGAAATATTTTCTAAATCGATTTCAAAAAATATCTATAGTAGAATCGCAATCGACAAGGAGTAATAGGTCTGTCTGATCAGGATATTTCAGGTGTGGGTGCCTATATTATTATTTACGGGGTACATAAAATCATCATTTAAAAATATATTTTTTTGAATATGTATTAGTATTATTTCGGATGTAGGTACTTTACAAAATGTTTTTGAGTTATTTGCAATTGTTATGTAAATGGTAGAGTTATCTATTTGAGTAAATTAACAAGGTATATAACAAATATTTTTCAAGACCTATATATTTGACTATTATCATCATTGACTTCTTGGAAAGGTGAAAGTTAATGACAAGTGGAGAGAAAGGTTTCAGCTTAGATTATAGAAAGTAATCTGAGGGTTCAAAAAATCTATAATTGTATTAAAAATGTAAATGGGATAAACCCTTAGATTATAGAAAACTATAATCTAAGGGTTAATGTTATTTTAACATCTTGAAGATTACTAATGCTATGGATAAACCAAAATGACAAGATTATAGGACGGTTACCTACCTAGAATTTGATATGAAGATAAGATATACAGTTGCAGTTAGTATCTTGATCAGTTCCCAATATTACCTACCATGTTTGATTAATTCTATATTATCAGTTATAGTAAGAAGTTGTGGTTATTTTCGATTAATAGTGACAGTAGTATTGAAAAATGCAGTATGGTTCAAGTTCAAAGTTTACACCTGTGAAACATATAAAAAAGTGTGCATTGTCAGTTAACGAGAAAATATTTGTAAGCAATGTTTATAATTGCCTAAAAATGGAAAATCCTTCGTTTTCTGTTCACGATACTGTTGAAAAGACAAGTAATATGATGGGTGTAAGCAAATCAACGATATATAAAGTTATAAGTGAATTAAAAAGTGTTGTTAAACCCCCAAAGAAAAATGCAGGAGGTAATAAAAATGTAGAATTTTACTAAACAAATTAACAGTGAAATAAGAAGAAAAGTTAACGAATTTTATTTTAAAAAAGAGATAACCCTTGCCTAAGTTTAGGATGCAATCAATAGTGATCCGTATTTTCCTAAAATGGGAAAGACAAAACTACGGAAAAGTCTAATAGATTTGAAGTTCAAGTAGGATAAACAGGACAGGAAAGTAGCACTTAATGATTCTGAAGAAATTGTTTGTTGGAGACGGAGACACCTCTGAACCATTTTTAAAGTACGTGCAGAAGGCAAAATAATATTTTATTTGGACGAAACCTGGGTGAATGAATGTTACACAGTTAAAAAATGTGGCAGAACACAAACATTCAATCTTCACAACAGGCTTTTTTGAATGCATTATCTACAGGATTGAAGGTTCCTTCCGATAAAGGACGTCTAATTATAAATCATTGGAAGTGATGACGGGTTTTCAAAACGTGGTTCTTTAATATTTCAATCTAAAAAAACCGGAGACTACCATGAAGATATGAACGCTGATATTTTTGAAGAATATTTTCAGCAGATGATAGAACATTTACCAAAGGGTTCGGTTATGGATAAAGCTAGTTACCATTCCCGTCTAATTGGACGTGTGTATAACTTTGAAGAAAAATCAATAAAAATAGAACTACAAGAAATTGTGAAATAAAATAAGCCTTGTTACCTTCTATTTGAAGTCTACGATGTAAATTATATTTAATAGGTGATTTAGCTCAAATTGCTGGTACTGCGTGGATTCATAAATTGACCAGGACAAATAAAATCAGAGTAGCTTGACCGGTTCGCGGGCCAAGTCTATTTTACGATAAAATGAAATATACAATAATAGGTACTATAACGACAAAAAAATGAGAGCCACCAAGTTTTTGAGTAAAAACTATGGAAAACTCTGATTTTATATGCCCTGTTTCATTGAGTCGGTCTCTGGTACCTCAAGTTATCTGTTACGAGTTCAGGCAAATAAAAGAAAATGAGAAAATTTAATACATTTAATGAAAAGAATGCAATGTTTGTTACACAATGAATTACCGATTAATGACTGAATGAACTTGAATATTAATAAAAATTGTTATCTTTGTTTCGACCAAGTGGCAGTACACAGCGGTACTTCCCTGTTAAATCGTCTCCTGGATAGTTGAAGTCTCCGATACTAATTGAGGCTACTTCGATATAACTTCGAGCTACGTGAAGCTACGAGGAAACTTGGAAGCTACGTGGAAACTACTTCGGAGCTTCGTCGAAAATTACTTGGGCGCTTCATCGAAATTTACTTGGGAGCTTGGAGAAGCTACGTTACTTGGAGCTTCGTCAAAAAATTGCTTGGAGAAACTACGTAACTTGGAGTTTGGAAGCTACGTACCTTGGAGCCACTGACAATTATCCCAACGGTAGCACATAAGCCCATACGAAAGACACACGATAATTATCTAAAACTACTCATAATAACTACAAACTAGTAGATTTGTCGACACAACACTACCACATTGTTGAGCAACCCACTCACTGTAGTCAGTTTTCAGAATCTCTATTAGACTTGATCATAGTAAGTAATACATTAATATACTCAAACCCCTGTGTTCGAGATACCGTACTATCTCACCATCGTTGCACTGACACCACAATTGAACTGGAAATAAATATCCCACGGCCAATAATAAAAACGTTTCGAAATTTTTCTCAATTCTCCATTGATAGATTCGAGAATGACATGATGAGTCAAAACGTAAGGTTGAAATACTGAATTCAACAATACTAAATTTATTTGATATTCACGCACCTTACAAAACTGCAAAATTCAATAAGCCATGGAAACCGTGGATTACACAAAATATTAAATTTATGATACACTTAAGAAATAAAGCTCTTGCTAAATATAGATCGACAAAAAAACAAACCCACTGGGAATACTATAAACAACTCAGAAACTTTATAACAAACGCTATTAAAAATGAAAAGAAAGCATACTATGAGCATAAATTAAAAAACTCGAATAATAAAGAAAAATGGAAACTATTAAAAAATCTTCAAATTACCAAAAACAATATAAATAAAATAAACTTAGATACTGACGCCGATCAGATCAATAATCATTTTCTTAGGATTACAGGTAACAGTAAAGAACCAGATAATGAATTAATGTTGTTTTACAGTAATAATCTGAAAAGTCCCAGTATTAATTATTTTAATTTTAATACAGTTTCTGAAGAGGTAGTAGCCAGTTTTATTCTCAAAATTAATACTCTTGCTACAGGAACTGATAATATTAATATAAATTTGTTGAGAATGATGTGTCCATTTATTATTCCCTACATTACCACATTGTAAATTTCTGTTTAACTAATTCTATATATCCTCAAAAATGGAAAGTAGGTCAGGTTCTTCCAATACCAAAGTGTAAATCTTCGTCCATTCTAAATGATCTAAGGCCCATAATGATTCTTCCTACAATTTCCAAGATTCTAGGAAGAACAATTGAATCACAATTACGAATTCACCTGCAAACCTACAACCTTCTTCCTATGATACAATCAGGATTCAGGCCCGGATATAGTTGCGGCACAGCACTTCTTAACATATCAGATGACATTTTTAGAAATTTAGATAAGAAGAAGTCAGGTGTTCTAATTCTCCTAGACTATAGTAAGGCTTTTGATACAATAAATCATAAACTTCTTCCATCTATACTTCATTTTATCGGTCTCGGACGTCCTGCTATTAATTTTTTTCAATCTTACCTAGATGGCAGATGTCAAAGAGTAGTATTAAACGGCATAACGTCTGAATTGGGAGTGGTGAAGAGGGGTGTTGCTCAAGGGTCAATCCTTGGAGCATTACTTTATACAATTTATACGAGTCATCTTACATCAATATTAAAATTTTTAAATGTACACTTATACGCGGATGGTACACAGTTATACCAGTTCTTCGATTCTAATAAAATAGCGCAAGCTGAAAGAAAAATTAACCAAGATCTGGATTCACTAGTTAGCTTTTCAAGCAAACATGATTTAATGATAAATTCCTCGAAATCTTCCGTTATGCTATTTGGTTCTTTAAATATAGAGGATATTAGTATTTTAATTGGCGGTAACCAAATTGCTATTTCGGAGAAGTTTAGGAATTTGGGTTTAATCATGGATAATAATCTGAGTTTTACCAATCACGTGTCCCAAATCTAACTCAACGTGACCAATTCAGAGTTCAAAAACTGCAGAACTCGTGCCTAAGACTAGTTTTTAGTATTCGAAAATTCGATCGAATATCACATACACTTCGTTTACTAAAATGGTTAAATATGAACAATCGAATGAAACTTCATGGCCTCTGTCTCTTGCATAATATTTTAATTAATAAAGAACCAGTATATCTATCCGAAAAATTATTATTCAGAGTTGATGCACATAATGTAAACCTCTGACATAAATATAATATTGAAATTCATACAGCAAAATTTCAGAATTCGTTCTCTTACTTTCTTGTGAAATTATATAATGAATTACCATCGACACTTAAACATATGGCACTACCTAATTTTAGTAAACACGTTAAAGAACACTTATTTTCAGCCATGTTCCAACATAGCATAAGACTTTATTTTATTGTAATAGTAACCTTATATTAACTGGGATTGTTTTTTTTGTTTTTTTCCACTTTTATATTTGTATTGTAAGGCGTTTCTATGTTCTTATATACAAATACTGACTTTGTATTTTTTTTTACCTTTTCTTTTTTTATTATTATTGTTATTAAAATCTTTTTTTAATATTATTATTCATAGGTTCAAGAGGAAGAACAGTTTCATACTGATCTTGCACCTTTTCACCAATAATTGTTATGCTCTTCAGATTGTAATTTTTTTTTTTTTTTTTTTTTTGAAAATTGGTGAATAAAGTTTATTTATTATTATTATTATTATTACATTGGGTTTTGAATTCGATAGATAAAAAGGGACTCGTTAAAGCGACGCCAGCCGATTTTATCTCAGCGTGAATGCAGAGAAAAATTTTTGTC